TGCTGAACAAACCCTTAAAAATTTCACTTAAAGCCATAGAAGTAAACTCATTATAAAGAAAAAAAAAATCTCACTAAACCTAGATTTTCAAAATTTAAGGGATCAAAAATTGAAAACTTCATTATTTATAAATAAAATTAGAAACTCTTAATATTTTAAAGGATCAATTATTTTAATTTTTAATATTTACTTGAGTTCAAATGCAAATATATAAACAAGCTTTTTTTATTTTCCTTTTACTATCAATTATAAACAAGCCAAGTATAAAAAATAATACAAAAAATATAAAAATTATGGAATTATAGGAAACTAAAACCACTATATATACTAAACCAACTATATATATATATATTATATATATAATATATATATAATACTATATATATATAATATATATTATATATTATAGCGGTAGTTTAAATAATTAAAAACAATTGTTTTTGGACTCATGAGTTGAAGTTGTCGATGATAATTTGACCTATAACAATTTATCCATAATACTAAGAAGGGAAAAGGCCAGTTTATTGATCCACATGCCCTTTGAATTCATGCAACATAATAATTTTGATAACATAAAAGTTTTTTAAAATTTAAATTAAGTATATAGCGGTAGTTTAAATATTAAACAATTGTTTTTGGACTCATGAGTTGAAGTTGTCGATGATAATTTGACTATAACAATTTATCCATAATACTAGAAGGAAAAGGCCCAGTTTATTGCATCCACATGCCCTTTGAATTCAATGCAACATATAATTTGATAACATAAAGTTTTAAAATTAATTAAGGATAGGGTTATAAAAAAATTTGAATAAAAAGATCTGAATAGCTAAACATTACATGGAATAATATTTTAGAAAATACTCTCTTATCCTCCAAAATCTAGTTTATATACTAGGCGCAGAATACATATTTTCACCTCTGAATTTTCTTAGTTTGACCTTGTAGCACTTTTAACTTTTACTTTGAGCTATTAAACACTTCAGTTTATAAAACTACATCAATTAAACACTTTAATTTTCAAAATTATTTTATTAAACACTTGAACTTGCAAAATTAGATCTATTAAACACTTTTTAAAAAGTTAAAAATTATAAAAATTATTATTCTAAAAGTCATGCTAACTACATATTAAGTTGATATTTTACAGATAAAAATAACAAACCCTAAAAATTATTGATATTAGTGTTGACTGATGTGTATGTTACCAAAATTTATAAGTTCAAGTGTACAATAGGTTATCAACAAAATTTAGGGTACAACAAAGTTAAAGTTGTAAAGTTCATGGATGAATTTATACATTCAACCTATATTATAATCTAGAAAAATAGTATTTTTACTAATTGAAAACACTAAAAGATAGTCTAAACGTTTTTTCCGAAGACATACTAAGTGAAAAGAACCTAGATTCTTTAACTAAGAAGTTGTCTTATCAATCCTTTTAAATGGAAAAAATCTATATTAATAGTTTTTTTTTCTTATGGGTCATGACGTAATGCGAGCATAATTACGTTTAACATAATAGACAATTTTAAAATTGTCCCCAGTTTTATCTCAATCAGTAAAAAATTTAACCTATGATTGGTTTGATCTATCATTATCAAGAGTTCGGGACACTAGTAGTATAGATTTTGATAACGAAGTCAACTAGCTGCGTAGTAAGTCTCAAGTTGGAACAGAGGGGAAGAAACAGGGTCCCCCTAATTTCGCGGTTTTAAGGTTAACCACTGGAAAGATCTAGAGTTTCAATGTGGACCCACCCATTTAATGGATGGCTCAAGATTATCTAGCTGTAATTATCAATCTGTATATGAGATCCTCATATTTTTGGAGTATATTATTTTGATCATCATCAAAATTTTAGTACATGTTAATTATTTATGACATATATGTAATTTATTTATTTATAATAAATATAAAAATACATATATGTTAAATAATTAATTACTAGTATCAAATTATGCTGTCATTATAAAAAGGCTTTTAAAAATTCATCGTATGGTACTCTCTCGTTTTTTCATAGAAGAAACATGCATATTTTGGATGCTCTTTTTATATAGAATGTTTTCTCTAATTTGGTAATTTTGAAAATAATATTAATGTGAAAAATCTATCTTATCTGCTTAGTCTTTTGTTAAAATAATAACCGACAAATAATACTATTCAAAAATTAAATTTTATCGTGAAAGTTTTATTTTATTAGTAGGTATAAGTGGATGAATATGTAGTCCAGATGACATTTGATTAAAAAGGGGAAAAAACAAACACAATGAAAAAGAATTTTGGGGATTCATTTTGTACTTACATTCAAAAATAACAATTGATTGAAGCCTGATGTATAATTAATAAATGGTGCCTTGTACGAAACATAGTTTTAAGGAACTATTTAATCTCATTCAGTGGACATTTTTTTCCCTTTAATTATTTAAATTATTTGAAGATTCATTCCATAATTGAAATTTTTGATTTATTTTCTCCAAAATTTAAAATTTAAGGCCATTTATTATATAATAATTGCTATATTAGCCAAATATTCTTACTTCATAAAATTTTTATTATCTTATTTATTTTTATTGAAAGCCTAAGCTTGGTATATTATAATATAGATAACAGATTGAAATCTAACTATCACAATCTATGGATTATGGTTTAGTTTGCAATGTAATCTGAATATGTGGAAAGAGTTCTCGAATGCAATCACCAATAAATTTATTTGCAAGAGGAAATGAAGAATCTTAATTATGATTAAACGCTGAATTAGATTTGTTTATTTCTATAATAGAATGTGAATACCAAAATCCGGATACCGGTGATTTAAAAAAAAAAAAAAGGTATGACTGTCACAATGAAAATGTTCGTGGAAAATTCACTTGTTACATAATTTACCTCCTCCGATTTGCTTGTCAAACTAGATCAAAAGATTTTGTATTATTATTTTTCTTTTTTCTTTTTTTTTTTTCATTCCATTGACAGATTAAGTAACATCTAGATGGGAATTAATTAATTTAATTCACACATCACATCTGTACAGGCACAGAAGTGCACAGTTTCCTAACATTTTTAAACCCACCTCTCAGCTTAAGTTAGGAGACCCCACTCTGCATCACATCAGCTGTTTGTTTTTATTCTAGGAGGTTTAAATCTTAATTTCACCGACTGTATAAATACATGCAGGTCAAATATATAAATTTTCACAATGAATTTTTACAGATTATTTTTTTATGTTCCTTAAATTTCACGAAAATTTAATTTGAAATAAAGATTAATTTAATTTTTGAACTTGTTTAGCGGGATTAAAATATTAGATTTGACCTTTTAAAATAATTTAATTCTTAAACTTATTTAAAATGATTAAAATGATTAAATTTGACATTTTTGACGAATTTAATCCTTAATTCTTCGTTATATTTATCGTGTGAAAATCTTTATAAAGACATTTATTAAAATTATAATTGAAATCGGGATGTATAATTAATTTAAATATTAATTAAATATGAAATAGAGAAAAATTATATATGAAGTATATTATATCATTTTTATATTAACTGACGATTTTGAGTTCTATGTATTAATTTGAATATTTTAAAATTAACTTTTTTTTATAGAATTACTGCATACAAAATCCATGTATTTTTATTATGTTGAGTAGATTAAAATTATATTGCATATTTTGCAAAATTTATTGTATTAGAAGAAATAATGCTTTATAAATTTAAACTTGGACTCGGAAGAGTAAGAAAAAGTTGGATCCGGGTATTCTTTTAAATTGAATTAATCCATTAATTTATAAAAATCAAAATAAGTTTAGGGGTTAAATTGGTTTTAAAAGTTCAAATATAATATTTTTAATCATTTTAAACAAATTTAGGGATTAAATTGGACTAAAAGGTCAAATCTGACATTTTTTATCTTGCTATACAAGTTCATGGGTCATATTGACCTTTGTTCCAATTTAATTTTGACCATACATTTTCACATTTTAATAATAATTACGTCACTCGTCAAAATGAAATGTGAAAGTGTAGGGTCATCACAGAACCCCATAAATTTATTTAATTTTAACAAAGGACATATGTATTATTGAAATGCGAAATTATAAGGTTATAATTAAATCACTCAAGATTCAAGGGGTTCACAAGGAAAATTGATCAAAGTTCAGAATCAAATTTATGTATTATGTCAATACATATATGCCAATTGAATATGATATATGATATTCTTACTTATAAGGAGTTCTCTAATGCTTGAACCAACCATGTGCGATCTAGTTGATTTTTCTATTTATATAGAAAGTGAGAAGTCTTAAGTCACCTATTGATTACAAAAATTTTCACAAATTTGGTAAATAAAGAGATGACTACTCGAGAAGGAGTATTTTGTCCTCTTTTATGGGCCTGCTGAACAGAAATCCAAATTAGTCGGGCCAGTGGACTTTGAGTACTGAATGGTTAAAAAAAAAAAAAATGATTACTTTGTTGTATAACCCATTATAATATTTTAAAAAAAAGCTTTTTGAGTTTAGATCTCCTTATACAATTTTCAATAATTTGACAAGAATTATTCTTGAAAGAAAAAAGAGCTATTGTGTTTGAAATTAAATTCTGGCAAAAGCAAAACCTGGGTTGGAATCACTGACTTTACTACTGTAATAAAGTAAAATAACTATAATAAGTCAATTTTTCAAATTAGGTTAAAAATTAAAGGAAAGTTCTACCAAATCATGGGTTCAAATCATGACTTAATGAATGCAGTAAAAAGTAAAATATAATGAGCTTTTTTAATATTTAGTTAAAAATAAACTTCCTATACTAAAACTATAGACTTTTGAAATGAAACAGAAATCTCTATTCGTAATTGGACATAAGAAATATTATATTAACAGTAAAATGAAAAAGAAATTCATTTATACACAGTATTATATTATGACTTGCAACCATCAACACTTAAAAGATTTTTCCCTAACCCAATAAATAGTAAAGGTTATAAGTGGCAGATGAAACACCACATATCACATATACAGCCAGCCACACTATATTTACTTGTCATTCTCTTCTTCTGAGCCTACAATCCTCACTTCTCTTCACACTTCTTTCTCCAAAGCCCACAAACCCCCAGAAAAGAAAAAGAAAGCACGACTACCCTTATATAAATGTAAGTGACCCATTTCAAAAGATTATAAATCATCCCTAACCTTAAATCTCATATTTATTCCTGCCATGCCTACTTCTAGCTCCGTTCACCAATGGCTAAGCCTTGTGGGCATCATATGGCTTCAATCTTTTAATGGAACAAACACCAACTTTCCTGCTTACTCTTCTCAACTAAAACAACTCCTATCCATGTCACAACTGCAGTTAAACAACCTGGCCTTCGCCTCCGATGCAGGAAAAATCTTTGGTTTCTTTTCGGGAATTGCAGCTTTATACCTTCCCTTATGGCTAGTTCTTTTAATAGGTTCTACTCTTGGTTTGATTGGTTATGGAGTTCAATATCTCTTTCTAACAAATTATATTACATCTCTTTCTTATACCCATATTTTCTTGCTCACCGTTATAGCAGGAAATAGTATTTGTTGGATCAACACGGTTTGTTACGTTGTAGCTATCAAAAATTTTCCTTTTGATCGCCAAGTTGCCGTTGGATTAAGTACTAGTTATCAAGGGTTAAGTGCTAAACTATATACTGTCCTTGTCGATGCTTGTTTCTCTTCTTTTCCTGCTGCAAAAGCTAAAGCTTATCTTCTTTTTAGCTCTGTGTTACCATTTTTTGTCTGTGTTATGGCTACTCCAGTTGTCAGAGACATCGATCATATCAGGAACAGTAAAAACATGAAAAGTGGGTTTTTGGTAATTTTCTTTATTACAATAGCTACCGGAATATATGCCATTATTAGTAGCTTAAGGTCAATGACCAGTGTTTTATCACCACTGGGTAGTGCAATTGGTGTTCTAGTGTTTTTGCTGGCTCCACTTTTGATACCATTGACGGTGAAGATTAGAGACATGCTATCAGTAAAAAAAGAGGCTAAAGTGTACAATTTTACTGCGGAAGAGAAGGGTAATAATGTAGAAAGAATGGAAAATAGGGTTAAAGAAGGAGAGGATGAAGAAAGGGAAGAAAATGGGAATGAGGTAGGTGTGAAAGAAGAGATTGGAGTGAAAGTGATGTTAAAAAGATTGAATTTTTGGTTATATTTCTTGGTGTATTTACTTGGAGCAACACTTGGGCTTGTTTACTTGAATAATTTGGGACAAATAGCTGAGTCTCGAGGATGCCTAGGGACTTCCTCTTTGGTTTCTTTGTCTTCCTCCTTTGGATTCTTTGGTCGTATTATTCCTTCTTTGATGGAGTATTTCCTCTCCAGGTATTCAACTTACTTTCTTTCAATTCCTTCCCTGTCTTTCTTTCTTTTTGTCTCTCGTTTGACAGTCACCAGAATGTATGGTTCTATAGTAAAGCTGATTGATAGAAAAATTGAGTACTTCTATTGTTTATAAATGTAAGGAAAAATTGATATTGTATTCGTAATTTTTCCATTTTTTAAAACACACCAATTAATATTTCTCTAACGTTTGATTCCGTTGCTGTCAATTTTCTTTTTTTTTTTTTTTTTTTTTTTGAGTACTTCTATTGTTTATAAAATGTAAGGAAAAATGATATTGTTATTCGTTAATTTTTCCATTTTTTAAAACAGTGTGCACCAATTTAAATATTTCTCTAACGTTTGATTCCGTGCTGTCATTTTCTTTTTTTTTTTTTTTTTTTTTTTTTTTTTTTTGGTATTTCTTTTATTTGCTGCCATATGAAAACAAAAATGTCCTTTTAGTTAGATCAAAATCAACAAACTTCTATTGAAAAAATTATTATTTTTTCCATTTTTTTTAAAAAAATGTACACTTAACGGACAAAAACCAAAAAAGTGACAGAAGTACATATTAATATAACGGATACAAAACACAGAGGAAAATTAGACTTTTTTTTTCCAAAAATGGAAAGATAAAACAGTGTATTTTGGCAAAACACCGTGACAAAATAGCATTTTTCCTAAAAATAATGCATTTTAAACATATTTTTATGGGGTTTATTTTAATTTGTAGAGAGTTAATTTTTTTTTTTTTTTTTTTTTTTTTTTTTTTTTTTTTTTTTTTTTAACATAAATTAAAGAAAGCAATACTCTCTATTAACTCATATTTAAATGAAGAATGTAAAACTGTCTCCTTATAATCCAGAGGTGGTAAGCTCATTTTTTTTTTTTTTTTTTTTTTTACATAAATGTAAGAAAGCATACCCATTAACTCAATATTAAATGAAGAATGTAAAACCTGTCTCCTATATTCAGAGGTGGTAACTCAACCACTGAATATTAAATGATTGTGCACATTCGGGCGGCTAACAATTTTCTGCTATGAGCTGTTGGGGATTTAATGATTTAGTTATTTATCTTCATTCTTACATATCTACTTCAGTGACATGAACTTAAAAATCCTAAAAAGAAGAAAAAAGGAAAAAAGAAATCCCTTTCAAAGCACTATCTACAGTATTTGTAATTATTATACTGAAAAGATACAAAATTTATTTACATTTTGCAGGAGTAAGAATATGATTCCAAGGACAGCTTCAATAGCAGCATTAATGGCTCCAATAGCAGGAGCCTTTTTCTTACTTCTCAACACCTCGCACATCTGTCTCTACATAAGCACTGCAGTTATCGGTGTCTGCACCGGAGCCATTACTTCAATTTCTGTGTCCACAACAACAGAGCTATTTGGCACCAAAAATTTTAGCATAAACCATAACGTTTTGGTTGCTAATATACCGTTAGGTTCTTTCGTTTTTGGCTACTTAGCTGCTCTTCTCTATCATAAAGAAGGCAATGGAGATGGAAAATGCATGGGAACGAAATGTTACAGAAATACTTTTATTATTTGGGGTTCTCTTTGTTTTCTTGGGACTTGTCTTGCTCTAGTCCTATATGCTCGTAATCGAAAATTCTACTTACAACGGTTAGATTATAGGTGATAATGTTTAATGTAAATATAATGTAATCAAATACCTGCTTGTAACACAGGCAAACAGGGTTTCAAGCATCCCTATTTTGCCTATTTTCTAACTCAAAAAAAAAATAATTATTCAACTCTTTAAGTGTTAATATATATATATATATATACTTTTTGGTGATATTGATGTACTGATATAATGTTCTGATCAAAATGCTAAGATGTTCTTTTATTTGTTTTTTGATTTTTTTCAGTAAGATAATTAATTTCGTTTTTAAATTTAATTGTCCGCTGAATATAAACGTGTCTTATTAAAATCCTCTTGTTGAATTAATGTGGTCTAGGCATGGGTTGACAACTGGCATGATTGATTTTACAAATTATTTATTAGGTTACGTTTCCATAAGGGCATTTCTGTTGGCTGTTTCCCAATTATTTATTTTCTTCTTTCAAAATATAAATCATTTAAAGTATTAAGAAAATAATTAATTTTTCTAAATTATAATAAAATTAATATACACATGCACTTGCTATTAGGCTATATCTTGGTATGCATATTTTATCTCACATTATTATTTATTCCTCACGTCATTATATTCAGGGGTGGCCAAAATTTGGTTTTCGGAACCAAAACTGTTAGTTCTGAACCGGTGGGAACCGGAACCAGAACCAGTAGGAACCAAAACTGGTCCTAACCAGAATCGAAATCGGCCTGAACCGGTTTGGTTCTGATTCCACCAGTTTTGGAACTGTGAACCGGCGGTTTTCAAAACTAGTCGGAACTGACGGTTCCAGTTCCGGTTGGAACCGTCCGGAAACGGTCGGAACCATTTCGAATCGGTCGGAGAACCGAACGGAACCATCGGTTTTGGAACCGTTAAAGAACCGAAACCACAACCGTTCGGTTCCAAACCGTAATCGTTAATTTTCGGTTCAATTCCGGTTCTAAAAAATTTGGAACCAGAACCGGCGGCTCCGGAACCATAGCCACGTCTAATTATATTGTATCTAATGAACAAGTGTAAAATTGAAACATATCATTTATTACTCTTTAAAATATTTAAAATAACTTATATTTTGGAAAAAATAATTATCCTGAAACGACTTATATTTTAAGACAGAGAGAGTAATTACTACCATCGAAAAACTTTGTTTTAAAAAAAATTATAGAATTAAAAAAAATTTGATTTTTTTTTTTACTAATCAGAGATGCTATGGCACGAAAATTAAACAAAAAAAAATACATAATGTACTTTCTGTGATTATCCTTGTGGCTTAATAAACTCTGTGGAAAACTCATCATAATTCTATAGTTTCACATTTCATTAATAATTATGCCTCCGTCAAAATGAAATATAAAAGTGTAGCGCTATCATTGTAACCCTGAAAAGATGTTTTATTTTGGTTAGAGACATAGTAATTACTATTCACAAAGTTCAAGGGGTCAGAAATATAAACGATTAAAATTTAGGGTTAAATTTATATATAGTGCCACCAAAAATCTCTTTGCATTGGGGAAAGGATCAAAAACGGAAATTTCAGAGTGTTATTTATGGTACGTTGATATCACAGTTAAAATGCTCAGATGCTCATGAGCTCTGCGCAAAATTAATATATATGATCCAAAAGGACAATAATATCATGGACCATGTTTCTCTGATTCTATGTCACGTAACACGTTTGAAAGAAAAAAAGAAAGGAAAACATTTTATTTCGATTCATATAAGTTGACCCGTGAGTATTTTACACGTGTATATATGTAATACTATTTTTAATAAACACAATTAAAATTGATTAAAAAATAATACTTTGAAATTTAAAAAAATCCATTGCAAGTATATATATATTAATTTGATTTGAAAAAAAAAAATCACTTTCTAATCGTCTTTAATAATTTAATCTAATACTTAAAATAAATTAAAGAAAAACAAATGATGCATATGTAGTTTATAGAAATTTCAAGAAAATCAATCTCAAACAATTTCCTTTAATTAGTCCAAGTAATTAAAAAGATAAATGTATGAAAAATGTTATTGAAAAATCATATATAAGACTATTACTAGGGTTGTGCATGGGTTAGTGTGGACAGAAATTATATAATTTTCAGTCTCATATCCAAATATCGGGACTGAAAAATGGAGTCCCAATAGATATGTAATCTCATCCCATTCTGTTCCATTTTTTGGAATGAGATGGGACCCCAGTTCGGGTCTATACCACAAGATGAAATGAGTTGGGTCAGAAATCAATCGAAATTTTCCGTAGACTTACTAAATTATTTTTCATTTAAATTTCTATTTTCATCAATTATAATCAAATAACATTCATTTATATAAGTTTGAGTTCAAAAAAAAAAAAAAAAGAATAAAGTCAATGATTGATGATCTAATATTGAAGTTATAATAGAAGATTTTTTAAGTAGTTATTTTCTAGTAAATAAAAGCGCTAAATATACTCCATATGTCCCCAAAAGATAATCCATCTTTCCTTTTTGGTTTATTCCAAAATATAGTCCATTTTCCTTTTTTGCATAACAAAAAGAATAAGTCAATGATTGCCGCACGATCTATATATTGAAGTTATAATAAAGATTTTTTAAAGTAGTTATTTTCTAGTAAATAAAAGCGCTAAAATTAATACTGCCATGGTCCCCAAAAGATATATCCATCTTTCCTTTTTTTTTAAGTAGTTATTTTCTAGTAAATAAAAGCGCTAAATATACTCCATATGTCCCCAAAAGATAATCCATCTTTCCTTTTTGGTTTATTCCAAAATATAGTCCATTTTCCTTTTTTGCATTATAATTAATCCTTAAATTATTTATTATACCCTTATTAAATTTTATCTAATTTTCAATAACCCTCGTTAATTCTTACTTATTTTTTCAATATAACATTTGCTCATGTGTTATTTAAGATGAGCATAAAATTATATAAATGAAATTGTCTTTTAATCATAATAATTGCTATTTTCTTAATCTGTGTGAAAATAGAAAATGGACTATCTTTTTGAGATGGAGAGAGTACTAAAATAACATGATGCAAAAGCTATACATAATTTAACTTTATATATATTTTATGAATTTTAAATCATCATTGTTTTTATCATTGTTTTCTTTAAGCTAATTTAAATTTGATACTTAATTTAATCTTGAATATCATCTGAAAAATAAAAAATGATAGAATTAAGCACACCTAATGATCCAATAACCAAATTAATTAAAGTCAATATTTTCTCTTGCATTGATCAATCTTTCTATTTTCTGTTTAATAGAAAAAAATTATTCAAAAAGTCTTACTTAACACATACCGTGGAAGAACTGAGGAAAAACTTACGTTAAAAAATATATTTAATTACTTGATTTAATTTATATTTAATAAATGCATATTATTTTTTTTGTATATTATTACTTTAGTAGTAATTGATATCATAAAAAAACTAAAATAAAAAGGATGAAATAATTTTTATGGATATAATTTAAAATTCATAAAAAAAGACAACTATAATTTTGAAGAAAAAATGGAACGAAAATTTTCAATTTTCGGGACAAGACGGGATGGGACTTGTGTCAGTTTTAATCAAAGAACTAGTCCCGTCTCATAATTACTTTTAGTATAGAATTAAGGATGGACTATTAAACTAATACTGAATTTTTTTCGGGATGAAAAATTTTGGACGATTTTCGAGAATGGATTGAGATTCCGCTATCCCGTGCACACCCCTAAGTGTTACTAAGAAATTTCTTTCTTCGCCGTTTTTAAGAATCTCTTAACTTTAGAATCAAATATAATCTATATCTATACAAATATATAAAAATAGAAAATTGAATGCTCACAGCATAATATTAGAGTTTTAATGTGCTAATTGGCATTACAATTGACATTTTTGTTACATTTTTAATTTAATTAATTTTTTATATTTATAATTTTATCACGAATTTAATGCATTATGCTAAGTAATAGTTATTAAATAGTGGCATGAGATAAAATTTTGAGTGATTGTATTAATAGCATCAAAACTAATAGTTGAAGAATTAAAAAAGCAACCTACTCATAAGGAATTTCTATAATTTTCCTTTTCAATATTAAAGATTTTATTGTTAAGAATCATCATTTGTAACTTTGTGCTCTATATTTATTTTATTGCAGCTTCTTTCTATCATATTTGTTTTATCTTTAATTTACTTTAAATTATAATATTTCAAATATATTAACCATATTTTATACCTTGCATTGCTTTTAAAAAAAATATTACAAACTTGTATTTAAAATTCTAAAATTTACATTACATGTCAATCGGATTTAAGATAAAAAATATTTCGTAAAATTTTAAAATATGCACAAATTAATTCTACTTTTCATTGTTCAATCAAATTATCTAAGCGAATTATTCAAGTTACAAAAAAAATCTAACATTCTTCTTAATTATCCATTAAAATTAATAACAATATTTCATAACCCTCGCATTGCGCGGACTCAGGACTAGTTAACTTATAATTATTATAGGATAAACAACTAGTTAGTCCCTAAGTTTAAACATAATTACAACTTTGTTTGATAAATACATTAATTAGTTCTTGAAAGTTTAATTTTATTAAATTATTTAGTCCTTGATCCAAAAAGTATTATTTTTATTAAATGAAGGACAAAATAGTCATTCAATAATAAGTGTGAGGGTCTAAATAATAACGCAATATTAATGTGAACAACTAAATAGTTAGATATTAAAAGGTATTTAACCTCTACATTGACATTTTATAAAAGAAAAAGCTAAATAGTTTAATGCAAGTAACGCTTAAGTACTAATTTATTTATTTACCAAACAAGAGAAATGATGAAATATATTTAAGTACTAATTTAATTTTAATTTACCAAACAAGAGAAAAAATGATGAAATATTATATATATATATATATAATATATATATAAGGCTAGCAGATAAATTTTCCTCTGTTGTTGCCACGTAGAATTCTAAATTAGTGACATGTATAATGTATTTATTGATTATCTTTATATTTATTTGAAAATAAATTAATTTATAATCATTTATTGATTGGATTAAATTGTTTTAAATCTAATTGATTAATATAACATTAGAGAATCTCTTCAAAAAAAAATATATAACATTAGAGAATTTAT